TTTTTATTGTTTTTATTTTTTATTTTTTTATTTATTTATGATAGTCACACACAAAGAGAAAGACAGAGAGAGAGAGAGAGAGGCAGAGAGAGAGAGGCAGAGACACAGAGGGAGAAGCAGGCTCCATGCACCAGGAGCCCGACGTGGGATTCGATCCCGGGTCTCCAGGATTGCGCCCTGGGCCAAAGGCAGGCGCTAAACTGCTGCGCAACCCAGGGATCCCCCTTGTCATCTCTTTTATATTAAAAAAAATACTTGGTAGGCTTTACTACAAAAAGTAATACTTGTTTCTTCTTAGGAACATGAGGAAACTTTTGGGGATTTGAAGCAGATCTGCTTACTAGTTTGTGGTGGTGATTTCACAAATGTACATGTATATATGTCGAAGCTTACACTATGCATAAAGTAGATGCAGTTTGTTGTGTATGTCAATACCTCAACAAAACTTAAAAAAATTTTATTGATTAGATGACTAAAAAATTGGACATGTTTTGCTGTTAATATGTATTTCCGTATATTAGCGAGATTGAGCATCTTGATAGTATTTCATTGTGAATCATTCAGTTAATTCTTTGCCTCTTTTTCTGTTGTGTGTTTCTTACCAATTTGTGTCACCTACTCTTAGATTAGTAATGACACCCCAGTGTATGTATGTCTGTTGCAGTTCTTTGCCCCAGTTGGCTTTTCTGTTGCCTCAAAGGGCCATTTCTTCCCCTTCACTTCCTTCCCTCCTCCCACTGCTCTCCTTTCCTTCCTGACTTATGCGGTCCTGTCCTTTCCCTCCCTGGTTTTGAGGTTTCCTGTCTCATGTAAAAGTCCCCAGCCCCAGGTATACTCCCAAGTTTTCTTATATTTTCATAGTTTTCATTGTTTAGATTTTATTCCTTCTTGAGTTTTTCTCATAAGGAATATGCACTGTGAGGGGCTCATTTTATTTTCTCTCTGGTGGGTAACAAACTTTTACAAATCCTGTGAGGTAAATAAACAGTTTCCCCCCACTGAGGTGAAATACTACCTTTATCTTCTATTAATTTTCTGTATAAACTTGAAACTATTTCAGGGTGATCAGTGTTCTGTTAATCACTGTGTATTTTCTTAGTATTTAATCATAGTAGCTTTATAGCAAAGCGAGTTTTACTATATGATGGAGCATGCCCCACTCTTTTGCTTTTCTCTTTCCACACTTTCATAGTCATTTTTCACATACCGGTTAGAAAAGTATTTAGTCCAGACTCAGTTTGCTTCTGATTGAAACTGACATTAGGTTGGGATGCCTGGGTGGTGTAGTCAGCTGAGCATCTGACTCTTGGTTTTGACCAAGGTCATGGTCTTCAGGGTGGTGAGATCGAGCCCCAGGGTAGGCTCTGTGCTCAGTAGGAAGTCTGCTTGAGATTCTCGCTCTTTCCTTCTCCCTCTGTATCCCCCTCCCCCATTCACATGCTCTCTAAATAAATAAATAATTTTTTTTCAAAAAGCAAATGACTTTAGGTATACATTTTATTTTAGCAAGGATTAATATTTCTATATTAAGCATTCCTCCAGAAACAAAATACATCTCTGTTTACTCAGGCCTTGTTTTATATCCTACATCGTGTTTTATCCTATACATTTTGTTGCCTTTTTAAGTAAGTTATTATTGCTGGTTGTAAAATAGTTAATGTATAAATGTGACAAAATTTTGTCATTAGGTCTACTTGTTTGTAGTTAATTCCTTGGGCTTTTCTAAGTCCATAGCTATATTTGTAAGGAAGGACTATGTATCTCTGTGCTCTGTTTATTTCCAGTTCAGGTTTGTCACCTTATTGTGTGTAGAATGAGTCATAGGGATGGTGATTTGCAATGATGACAGTTAATATGATGTTTGCCAGTGGGTTCTTTTATTGTCCTATTTTTCCTTTGTTATAGGTAACATGTAATAACATACTTACCAAGTATCCATTTTAATGAATTTTAACAATTTGGTACCACCATCATTAATAAGAAATATAACATTTCTATCATCCTAGAATATTCCAGATCTCCATCAACATTCCCCTGCCCCCCAAAAAAGAAATAACTACTTTTTTACGTCTGTTAACAAGAGATTTATATTTCATTTAGCACAGCATTAAGATTCATCCATGCTGTTGGTAGTTTATCCTTTTTTTTTTTAAAGCTGTATAACATTCCATTTTGTGAATAAACTATAATTTACCCATTTTCCTGTTGATTTCAGTACAGTCATTTTCAGTTTGGGGCTATTATGAATAAAGCTTCATGAACATACTTGTATAAATGTTTTTATATACATATGCTTTTATTTCTTTGGGGTAAATATAAGGAGTATTTTAACTTTTTAAAAAAAGTAAAACTGCAGAACAGTTCTACCAAGTGGATATACTGTTGTGCATGGAAGTATTTGTTGTTCTATATCCCTGTCAACATTTGATGTTCTTAGTCTTGTGGTTATTTTAATGGGTGTGAAATGGTATCACATTCGACTTTAATTTCATACCCCTGATGGCTAATGATGAGCCACACATTTCTGTATTTTCTGCCTATTGGTTTATCTTTTTGTGGAAGTTTGTCTGTTAAAGTCATTAATCCATTTTTTAAAAAGATGCTTTTGTTCTTTTCATTATGATTTGTAACAGTTCTTTGTAGATTGTGGGTGTGTATTCTTTGCCAGCTGTGTGTATTGTAAGTGCTGCCTCCCAGTCTCCATCTTGTCTTTTTAGTATCTTAGCAATACCTTTCAAAGAGCAAGAAGTTTTTAAGTTTTTTCCAATTTTAGTATATGTGCTGCCGAAGCGAGCACAGTTTTTAAGTTTTGATGGAATTCAGTTTATCAATTTTTTCTTCAGTAGTTCCTGTTTTTTAGCCCAAAGAATTATTTATTGCAAAATTGTGATGAATATCCTCCATTTTTTTCTAGAAGTTTTAAAATACTTGTATATTTAGGTCTGTTACCTCTTTCCAGTTAACTTTTACATATGTGGGATAAGTTGAGGTTTAATTTTCTTTCTACTGGGTATTCAGTTTTTTATTTGTTAAAAGACTTTCCTTTCTCCCACTGAATTGACTTCATGCCTTAATACTGACTGTATATGCATGTGTCTATTTGGATTCTTTTCTGCTCATTCATTTGATTTGTCTGCCTTTAAGCCAGTACCATACTGTTGTGATTACTGCAGCTTTGTATTAAGTCTTGAAACCAGGTAGTATAAGTCCTCCAATTTGTGTTCTTTTTCAAAATCACTTTGGCTTTTCTAGGCTTTCTGCATTTCCATATAAATTTTAATAACACCTTGTCAGTTCCTGCAAAAATATCTGAGATTGTGATTGAGTTTGTGGGATTTGGGGTGCATGATCGTCTTAAGAATACCAAGCTTTCCAATCCATGATCATATATTTCTTCATTTTTAACAGCCTTTGTACATTTGTTCTGTTTTATTTCATGCAGAAGAACTTACTGTAACAATAATGGCTGAACCTTTCTTTAAAAGTAGTGTGAGATCTTTCTGCAGCTTTGGATTCATTTTATTTAAACTATTAGTTTAATGGCCATAAAATTAATGTCGGAAGCATGGAGTGATGTTTAGAAAATGCTGCTGAAAATTCTGTTTTCCCACAGCTCTCCGTAGGTAGAGAATCCCCTCTTGAACTGAGGGGAAAGATGGATAACTGGGACGGAGAGAGGAATAATTGTTCCCTTGTTTGATGGAAGTGATGCCCATGAGTAGGAGGAAACCAAGTGACAAAAACTCAGATTTTCTTTGGTTGCCTAATGATAAGATGTCTTAAATATGGGAGTAGGGGAATGCCTAAAAAAAAATGCTGACATTTTAAAGCATTTGTCCATCTCTGCCAACTACTTACAGAAGGACAGTAGCCCAAGACTTTGCAGACTTGTGTATCTTCCATAAAATAATGGCTTTCCTTTTTATGGAATAAAGTCGGAGGCCAGAAGAGAGGGTGCTTTGCAAAATCTGTTATATAAGATTCAAATTCTGTTGTATCTAAATAGAGGACAGAAGTGAGAGAAGGGACTCTGGAGCCACAATGGCTCCTTCTAATAATTTCCTGTAGTTCCTGCATTCTCTTTATTAATATTTCAGTTATCACACTGAATTCCAGATAAGGTTCTGGGAATGGTGATCACATGGAGAGGTGAACTCTAATAAATTTTTTTACTTGGGGATTTTTTTTTTCCTCTCTCTCATACTTATAATTTAAGGAACCTATTTGTTTTAACTATTAACCTAGTGGCCGAGACTTAATGTTTAAATTTCAAGATAGAGATTTATTTTTTTAGTAATATACTTTCTTCTGAACTCTGTGCTCTTAAAATCAAAAGAGCTATGTTATCTTGTTTTGAGAACTTAATTTATAATGCCACCCTGCCTATTGCCAATGAACTAGAGATTAATGAAATTACTTTGTTTCCACCAAGAATCTCTGTGAAGGGATAGGGAGTGTCCTGAAGAAAATACTAAAGGCCCAAACTAATTTCAACTCTTAAGCTATTCTTGTTAGAGACGTTTTTTGGCATTTTTTTTTTTAAAACTTGGTTTAAGCCTTCAGCCCAGGGCATGACTAGAGACCCAGGATTGAGTCCCATATCGGGCTCCCTGCATTGAGCCTGCTTCTCCCTCTGCCTGTGTCTCCGCCTCTCTCTTTCTCTGTGTCTCTCATGAATAAATAAATAAAATCTTTTAAAAAAAAAAAAAAAAACTTGGTTTAAAGGAAAATTTTTGACTCGGGTAACTAATCAACTTTAATATGGTCACAGACCTGTTTAAGAACCACAAATTGACCAAAGTTGGGTGTATTTGCGTATCTACATGTGTACATCTCTGTATACGGCAATGTTTTCCCCAGTCACGAGGCAGTAAGTCTCCCATTTTACCTGACCAGAGAGAGAATATTCAGAGGATTTTGTATCCTCACCTTAAAAATAGTCATGTAATGAGAACTTAAAATCACTTTTTCTCCTTATTTTCTCTTCTGTTTTGTTTTAGGGTAACCAGGAGCCAACAACAACTCCTGACGCAATGGTTCAGCCTTTTACTACCATCCCGTTTCCACCACCTCCACAGAATGGAATTCCCACAGAATATGGAGTGCCACACACTCAGGACTATGCCGGCCAGACCAGTGAGCATAACCTGACACTCTACGGAAGTACGCAAGCCCACGGGGAGCAGAGTAGCAACTCACCCAGCACACAAAACGGATCTCTCACGGTATGTGAACTCTGAGGTGGGGAATGGAAGAGTGCTTGTCATCATACTCAAATCTTCAGCTGAATCATCAGACCAGAAAACCCTTTGAATTAATTTAGCATCTATATGACACTACATAGCATTTACATAATTTCATTTCTACCCCTTGCATTGTAATTAGAAGGTAAGGACTTAGAAACTGAGCTCACAGTCATTGCCCAGGAGCTTAGGGTCTAGAGACCGGCCAGACAACACAAGGTGAGGCGCCAGGGACAAGGGTACACTTGGGTCAGTTTCACCAGGAAGCTTCGTTTGGCCACACCTCCTTATTAGGAGGGGTGCCCTCCTGTGCTGCCACAGTACACAGTCTCTCAGCAGCATCCCGTACATTGCCTCTCCCTGCCCCCAGACCTGCTCAGTCTCTTGCTCTTAGGATACTCCCTGTTGCCCTCCTGCACACTGGAAGTTCTCTCTTAGTTCCCTTTGCTGATTCCTATCTCTGTGTTCAGTTTTTTTTTTTAATTTTTAAATTTATTTTAAAGATTTATTTATTTGGGAGAGAGAGCTTGCAGGAGCAGCAAGAGAGGCAGAGGGAGATGGAGGATCTCAAGCAGACTCCCCACTGAGCACAGAGCCTGATATGGGGCTCAATACCAGGGCCCTGGGATCATGACCCAAGCTGAAGGCATACTGAGCCACCCAAGCTCCCCTCTGTTCAGTATTTAGATGTTACAGCACTCCAGGCCTGGGTCATTAGGAACCCCCCTCCTCTGTCTGTATAATTCTACTACTAAATTCACCTTGCTACTCATGCAAAACCTAGGAGTCTTCTCCATTTCCTTCATCTCCACACCCAGTGCATTTGCGAATCCAGTAACTGTAACTCGAATTCATTCTTTCCCTTCGGCTCTTCTCTTTATCTTGGTACTCTGACTGGATGGTGTACATGCTTAACAGCTTAGCTATCCTGCCAGATTTCTTGGGTTTGAGTAGGGTCCTGCTTAGTGGCGTGACTATATTTAACCTCTTTCCTGCATTGGCTTGCTCAGTGACAACAAATACATATCTGCACCTGGCAAAGAACGACAGCGGTGCCTGCCTCTGCTGGCCACTAGGAGATTTAAAAGAGTTGAATTCATGTACATTATCATTGTCGTCATCTCCACCGTAGTCCAGACCTCATGGCTTATTTCTCGTGTAACTGCTGCCTGCCTGACTATCCCTTCCCCACACAACAGCCGACTTAGTGTTCTGTCTTCTCAAATAATGGTACTTCCTGCTTAACTCTAATGATTCCCTTACATATTTACAATAAAATCCAAACCCTGTACTTCGTTTACTAATCCCTGGCCCTAGCCTACCTCTTTGACTTTGTCTCTTATACTAACTTGCTAAAATAAAAGAAATGTTGGGGCGCCTGGGTGGCTCAGTCGGTTAAGCATCTGCCTTTGGCTCAAGTCATGATCTCAGGGTCCTGAAATCGAGCCCGTCGTCAGGCTCCCTGCTCAATGGAGAGCCTACTTCTCCCTCTGCCTCTCCCCCTGCTTGTGTTCCCTCTCTCTTTCTCTCTCAAATAAATATAATCTTAAAAAAAAAAAAAAAGAAATGTCAAAAATCAACCAGTAGGTATATATCACATATGTATCAACACACAGGAAGTCATATTGTCTGTGCGATTGCATGGTCTATCTCCAAAGATAAAAATGTTCTGTGCTCTTGATAGAAAGATCTGTGTCTGGTTTTTAGATTTCTTTTTGCTCTTCCTGTTTCAGATTATCAGGAGAGCTTATCCAGCCTTTAAAACATTTGATATGATTTACTTCCCAATAAAGAGCCTTATAGTAGAAGCTTGTGTTGCATAAGGATGGATTTAACCTTCAAATACTTTCCATTTTCTTTTATTAGATATTAGACCACAAAGAAATCCATTCTTTCCTTGAAAACACGTTATCTTTTCAATATTGATCAGTTATATATAGAAGCACATAATTTTATACTTCATGAGTAATGGGCTTCAGACCATTTATTAAGAAGGTGTAAGCATGATGGGTAACAGATGAGGATTCCATAGTGTTTGTTCCAGAATCATGAATATATCGGCTATCTTGGCTGCATTTCTAAATCACCTTCAAAGGATTATAAACCCATAGACTTACCAGAACAACTGTGGAAAGAAGGAATAAAATGTAAATCTGAGGTTTTATCAAGTATATTAATTACTAAAGCTATTTCTTTACTAGCTAATTTTTCTAGTTTTATTTTTATTTGTCCTTTTTCTTTGTTTATTTCTATGTTCTATTTCACATCAAATCAATCTTGGTAATTTCTAGGAATTTTCTTTTTCATCTGAATCATCTATTTTGTTGGTATAAAGTTATTTATAATTTCATATAATCCTTTTTAATTTTTATAAGGTCTGTAGTGATAACCCCTCTTTTATTCTTGATTTTGCTAATTGTGCCTTCTCTTTTTTTCTCTTGGTCAGTCTAGCTAAGGTTTATTAATTTTGTACATCTTTCAAAAGTCAGCTTTTGATTTCATTGATTTTTTTTAATGTGTTGTTTTTCTGTTATGTATTTCATTGATTGCCATTCTGATCTTTATTATTTCCTTCCTTCTTCTAGCTTTGAGTTTGATTTGGTCTTAATTTTTTTTTTTTTTAGCCTCTTCAGTTGCAGCCTTAGATCATTGATTTTAGATTTTTTTTTTCTTCCTGATATGTGTTTAAAGCTATACATTTCCCCTTAAGTTTCCTATAAAATGTGATATATTTTATTTTTGTTTTCATTCAAGATATTTTTAAATTTTTCCTTATGATTTTTCTTTGACCCTGGGTTACGTACAAGTGTGTTTCTTAATTTCCAAATGTTTGAGGATTTCTCAACTTCTCTTGATTTATAATTTAATCCCATTGTGGAAAGAGAACATGTTTTGTGTGGTTCAATTTTTTAAAACTGAGACTTGTTGAAGATTACATCTTCAACTTATAACTGATGCACACATTTGCTGCTTACTTGCAGGGGCACACGTGTATGTGTGTCTTACTCTGGTAAAATACTGTAGCTTTGGTCTAATATATATTCATTCCTCACCATCCTTTGTACTGTTATTGCCATCTGTATATTCATGCAAGATCCAGTTGTATGTTTTTTACCAGAGACACACCTTGGATTCAAAGAGTTTGAGATAAAAAGAAGGAAAAAGATGTCATACAAAACAGTAATCATGAGAGACCTGAAGTGATTATATTAATAGCAGAAAATAGATAAGACAAGTATTGATAGAGATAAATGTATATTAGAAATGCAACAATACAGTATTGTAATTTTTACTTTAAAGAATCTTATATTTTTTCTTCTGTTCACTAAATTGGAGAATTTCTGTTAACATCTCTTTCAGTTCACTCACTCTTGTTCTGCCACATTGCATCAGCTGTTGAGCCCATCTAGTGAATTTATTTCAGCCATTGTACTTTCCAACTCTAGAATTCCCATTTGTGATTTATGTTTCTCTATTGAGATTCCTTGTCATCATATTTCTTTCATTTCTCTGAATACATGTGTAATTGATATTTTGACGTCACCTGCTGAATCCAACATCCAGGCCCACTCAAGAGTCTATTTCTAGTTACTGTTTGTTTTCTTGAGACTGGGTCACACTGTCCTGTTTCTTTACAGGTCTTGTAACTTTTTAATAAACTGGACATTTTTGTAATACATTTCAGCAACTCTGAAGTGGTTTTTTGTTTGTTTTTTTGAGCAGTGTTGGTGTGTGTTTGTGTGTATGTTTTAAGTAATTTGCTTGAGCTTAAACTGTGGAATGTGGTGTGCAGCCACTGCTGTTTCTATACAAAATCTTAGCGATTTTCCCTCTCCTTTTTACTCTTTAGCCTGGCTAGGTGTTATCCCTGTGTCACCCTAGCTCCGTGGTCAGCCAGTGATTTGGGCGGAAGTTGTGTTTAAAAAGCACCTCAAGCTTGTAAAGCTTCCCACCCTCTTGTGTTTGTGGGTTTGGAAGTAAGTTCAGAGTTTAGCTGGTTCTCAGGTCCACTTGGCTTTTTCTCTCTGTTGGGCTCTCTCATGTCTCCCTTCCTCATGCTTGTATTTTCATAGTCAGCCACAGATGTGAGGAGAGCATAGCTAACTCCTCCGTGACTCTCATTTCCAGGATCTCCCCTTCATGTTGCTGGCTGCTCCACCACTCACCTCAGTCAGACCCACAAGATCAAGAAAGAAGAACTATATTTCCCATTAGGGCCTACCAGACTTGCCACTTTTGGCCAACAGGACTCTGAGTTTTCTACTCCTTCACTCCACCACTGCCCCAGTGCTCCAAATTGAGTTTACCCCTTCTGGTAGCACAGCTACTAGTTCTCATGGCCCTGACCCTGTCCTGGTAAAAACTAAGTTCTCTCCCACAGAACTGAGGGAAGGGATGTTGGGCAGGGATGAGATGGTGGGTTGGAGCAGCTACTGGCAGTGTATGTGGCCTCTTGCTGGTCTTACCTTAAGCTCTAGCAATTTTTCAAGAAATTTCTTATGTTGATTGATTTCCAGAACGTGAAATGACTGTCAGGCAGTTTTTGTCCGGCTTTCTTACTGTGGTCTTGTTTTGGGGAAAGGGGTTACAGGCCCATTCACACTGTTAGAGCCAGCAGTGCCCTCGCTGACTCTTGATGTAGCGCTTACTGTACAGCTCCTCACCACACCTCTCTTCCCCATGGCCCATTTCTCTTTCTGCTTGTTTTCTCTTCCTGCCACCATCTTCCATTATTTCAGATGCCCAAATTCTAGGTTAATGGTAGTGTGAAGGGCAAGTTCTCTTCCTTAACATAAATATATATGGTGAAGACTTATATTCTTCATCCCTATTAGAAACTATTCACTACAGGGCAGCCCTGGTGGCTCAGAGGTTTGGCACCACCTTCGGCCCAGGGTGTGATCCTGGAGACCCGGGATCGAGTCCCACGTCGGGTTCCCTGCGTGGGGCCTGCTTCTCCCTCTGCCTGTGTCTCTGCCTCT